GGTTTTGGGGGGGGTGTGTTGGTTTGCTTAGCTTCCTTCTCCCATCTCTGCTCCCAACCCCTGCAAGCAAAAATCGCTCCACTGTGCAGGGAAGATAAATAGGAAGGGGAAGAAAGTAAAAGCAGGCAGGAACAGCGGTTTGGAGGTTACTGCAGTACAGAAGCCCAGGCACTTGGCTTGGGCTTAGGCAGGGGTAGGGGCGGGGAGGGGAGGGATGGTGGTGGACATGAAGGGCCAGATTTAAGAGATATCAACCTGACTTTGGTGCTTCTTAGAATGCGAAGAGAAGGATAGGGACAGAGAGATGAAAAGCTAAGCAACTAGGACTATGATTTCCCCTCGTCAGTGTGTGGATGATGATGCCATTAAGTGAAATAAAAACTAAAATGCAAGTGGAGGAGGGAGATTTAAAGGGAAGATTTAAAAATAAACTTGGAGTTTATTTGCAGAATGTCCCGTTCAGTGTTGTGCTGGTAAATGTCAACAACTGGCTTTCTGAAAAAGGAAAAGGAAAGGAAGCCCTGACTGTGTCCATTTCCAATGGGGTAAAGAGTCCCACCACTGTCTGATTTTAAGGAAGCCCAGGGGGAGGGACTTATTGCTGAGGTGGGAAGAGATATACACATTCAGGTCTTCTGAGCTGGGCTGAGCCAGACTCTAGCACACTGCTGGTCCTGCTGGGTCCTCTGTGTGCGTCCAGGAGTTCAGCAGGAGGTGAGAGCTGGTGATGCAGGGTTTAAGTGGGGCCATGGGCATGCAGCACATAGAAATAAAAAGGAAACCAGTGTCGGGGGACATATGTATATAAGGAAAGAGGAATCAGGAAAAGAGCGTTCACAGAGACAGGAGAAGCGGGAGCCAGATTCCAGCAACAGGCGAACTAGTTTCAGGAAGGAAGGTGTGGTCAAGAGTGTCAGATACCAGAGATCAGGTGGCCGAGGCACTTAAAGGAGGTCATCAGAGTACCAATTAAGCAGGTCTTTTTTTTTTTTTTGTAATGATAAAAAAAAGCACTTGGACTCTTTTTAAGGAGGTCACTAATGAATTTGGACAGACCAGACTCAGTGGTGGGGAGAAGAGTTTGCCTGAAATGGGCTGGAGAGGGAATGAATGGAGGGAGTAGAGATGAAGTCTTTCCAGCAGTTTGGCTCTTAAGGGAAGAAAGATGTGCAGGGAAGCACGTTGGTAGGATGGCTTTAAAAAAAGAGTTATAACTCACTGATAGTAGTTCAGGGGACTCTATCAAAAATTCGTCTATAGTCCAGATAGTCCAGACTAATTGTTGATCCCAATGACAAGCAGAGCAAACATCTTACTCAAGTCCAGAAGCAGTGATGGTTTTGAATCTTGCTTAGATGTCAAAATGGGAGTCACATCAATACAGAAGGGGTTGCATTGCTCCAATTAAATTGAGTTTGTAGGTGTTAAGAGCCTATGTGATACATGGTTTACTCCACAAGTAATGGTGATTCCTCATTTTTTAAACTTTGAACATCAATTGCTTGATGATGCATTTATGTGTCTAACCATGTATTGGAGTTAAACTGACTCACATATGAACTGTAGGTGCTTTTACTAGTATTCTGCCTCATATGAAAGAAGGATTAACTATTATTTTTTATTTTTATTTTGAGGCACCTCTCATTCTCTAGGAATGCTCAAAAAATCCTGCAATTAACTCTTTTTAATTGTAACAAATTCAACGTGACATTGTTTTTTAGAACACTTGCTTTTTAATTCTTCATTGACTTCTTGTAATGCTCTATTCTTTGTAGAGTTTCAGGAACCAAACAGAATACATACCAACCAAAATTACATGTTGTGGTGAACAGCATTTATATTTTAAACAAGATGTATATGTACATTTATGTAGACAAGTTAACAGATATTATATATCAAAGCAATCTCCAAGAAAGCCTTTTAGGTAATCCCTGATTTAAAGGTCTCATTGGCATGATAAATCGTGCTTCTCTGTAGCTCCATGACTTCTAACAAGGTCTTCAAGGTCACAGCTGCCTGAAGAGCCATTCTGTGATTAGAAAATGCCAGGGTCATCTCTGAACAGAACCCCACCCACGTGGGCTACATTTACAGAATCAGCTTTTCCAGAGCAACAAACAAACAAGGGTCTTCTTACTTATTTGGAAAGGGTCATGTGGGGTGGCGACTTGGAGTTTTGGTGTTGGTGTTGTCAGGAATCCAAAGAGCTGGAGGAAAGTTCATGAAAGCATACTCAGGAACAAATCAACCTATGACATTCAAGGGAGAGAATTCACACTTGGAAACTTTCTCCAGGGACACATTCTCTTAGGCTCTAACTTTTGGAAGTCAGTATTTTTGTCATATGAATCTGTCACACTTGCGAAGTATGGGCTGATGTCATCAGACTTATGTCCCTGTACCACCTGGCCAAATCATGTAGCCTCATGGGGAGCTTGGGCTCTTTTATTGGTAGAAATCAATGAGATTCATAAATAGGTTTCAAACAATACAGTGTGTGCATATACGCAACGAAGAGGTGACATTGCAGATTATTCTTAGTTAAAAATGATCAAGTTTGGCTTTGAGACCATTGACTTATGTATTTAGAGTCAATGGCTGTCCTCTCTCTGGGGCTTTCATCTTCCTCTTGGGCTCGCCTTCTTTCTCTGGCATCCTGTCTTTGTGTGATTTGTACAGGATTACTGTTGCTCAATCCCCGGTAGAGCAATCTAAGGGATTATTCTTAGTGGGGGTGTTCTTGGGAACCATAGCCTTCAAAATTCCAAAAGGAATAATTTGGTGATGGAATTTTACACGCTGTGATCAGTGAGTGGGCACAGTATAGGGAATAGAGAATCAGGGGGATCTGTCAACTCTCCCCAAATCACACTTGAAATGGTAACACCTCCTCCAGGAGCTTTTCTTTATATCTAGAGGGTTAGAGAGATTGCTTCTTTTTTTTCTTTTTTAAATTTTTATTTCAGAGAGGAAGGGAGAGGGAGAGATAGAAACACCAATGATGAGAGAGAATCATTGATCAGCTGCCTCCTGCACGCCCCCCAGGGGGGATCCAGCCCGAAACCCAGGCATGTGCCAGGTCTGGAATCGAACCGAACCGTGACCTTCTGGTTCATAGGTCAATGCTCAACTATTTAGCCACTTGTGGCTGAGCCAGAGAGATCTCTTAACTTTTGCTAGACCTGGAGTTTTATGAGTTTGGCATGGGAAAACTTTATAGGCCATGGCTGGTACCTGAAAATGACATTAATAGTCACCTAATAACATCCTCTTTGTTTAAAAATACCATTCTTTCAAGGAGCTTAAATGAACAAAATTCATTTTCAGAAAACTCTGGTGAGGCAGGGAGAGAATACATATTTTCTCCATTTTACAGATGAAGAAATGGAGGCAGAAAGCTGTGGATCATGAGGTTCGGTCAAATGTGACCCCAGAACCCAATCCTCTTAGTCAGGATTGTCCTTTCACCCAGGCAAGAGGGACCTCTCTCCTGCACCCTGAGCTTCGGAAGGCTGGGCTCTGGTCCTTCACAAACTCCATCCCTTCCTAAGTGTCAGCAGCCCACAGTGCCATGGGGCCATGACGCCAGAGTTTTGGAACCCCACATTTCCTTGACCTTCAGGTCCCAAAGTGCACTTTCCAGGGTCTGCATGGGCCTCCTCACAGGTGCATGCACCTGAGCTCAAGTTGTGGCCTGACTGTATGCATGGAGGAAGCTTGTGCAGCGGGGGGTCCACATGCATATACTGGAGGCTCTTCCAGAATATGATGGAGCTGGAAGTGGGAAGAGAAGGGGTCTGGGGCAGGCTCTCGCATTCCACGTTCCTGCCAAAACTCAGATCAAACTGTGAGGAGTCTGAATGTGAACCTGCCCTTCCAGGTTGCTTCTAAGGTTTGATTTATGACTTAAATATTTAGACATAAGTATGTGGGCCTCCACTTGAAATCTTGCCTCTGCCCCTCAAATGTTACGGGCGGCGATGTTGCTCTGGACTGTTAAAAGCCAAAGTTAGAGGAAGAAGTTGGAGATCTGGGATGGTTATATAATTTTACACCAATGGGAGTCTCTAGCTGCACTTTGCAAATCTGTAGAAGCCAAAATACAAGCCTTGTGTATTCATCCCTGAGCGCAGAGCAATACATTGGAAATAAAAAGGGGCTGGTCCCATGGTTCTGTCGCGTGGGCTTCCTTCCTCCCCCGCTTTAGCAAGGCCCTTTCCACTGGCCCTTCCGGTGACCTGGCAGGCCCAGGCTGGGAATCCCAAAGCCAATAGGATGCCTAATTGAATATCAAAGTCAGGGTTTATGGTAGAAAAAAAAAATAAAACAACCAGTCAATTCCAGAGGACTGTCCGCACCGTAAGCATTTGAAAGGAAAGAAAGACTAGCAGCGGTTCTCAACCTTCTGGCCCTTTAAATACAGTTCCTCATGTTGTGACCCAACCATAAAATTATTTTCGTTGCTACTTCATAACTGTCATGTTGCTACTGTTACGAATCGTCATGTAAATATCTGATATGCAGGATGGTCTGAGGCGACCCCTGTGAAAGGGTCCTTCGACCGCCAAAGGGGTCGCGACCCACAGGTTGAGAACCGCTGGACTAAAGGGTTGTTGGGTGGTTTTCAGCCTCGCGTTCCCAATCGCCCAGTAAAGGCGAAGAAAGCAGTGTGAGAAGCGATGCCCTCTGGGAAGGAGAGAGCCAGCCTCCCGAGCAGTCCCAGGCCCCGCATTTCCAGCTTGCCCTCGGCTGCCAGGCTCTGGCTGGGTCGGGGGGCGCAGACCGAGGGCCCGGCGATGCCCGACGCACCTCCCGAACCCCACTTTTCGCCCGCAGCCTTGCGGGGAGCTGCGGGACATCGCCCGTTTAAGGGGCGGGGCGCGGCTCCACGTGCTTTCTGCTGAGTGACTGAGCTACAAAAACAGAGGCCCGGGGAAGAGGGCGGGGAGGGAGGGAGAGAACAGGCTTTGACCGATAGTAACCTCTGTGCTCAGCGCAGCCGAATCTATAAAAGGAACTAGTCGCGGCACAAGCCGGGTAATTCCGAGGGAGACAGAGTGGGGCAGGGACCGCCGAGCCGAGCCGACACATCTTCCCCCGGGCGCGGGTGGGCAAGGCAGGGGTCGCCGCAGCACCAGGGCCACCAGAGCCCATTTCTCGGGGCGCTCTGCTCCTGCTCTCCCCCTTCTCCAGAAGGGTTTTTCAAGGAGTGGGGAAAAGAGACGAAGACACAAAAGTGGAAAACAGGTAAGAGGTTCTGCAGCGACTTAGGCGTTATTGTTTCGTTTCGGGGCTGAGGAGGCTTTGGGATGCGCTGGGATGCGGGGACTTTAGTCCGGACCCCCACACCCTCCACCGCTTGCATTGAAATGGTGCGGGGGTACAGTAAATGTGGGGATGTCGTTCTAGGACGAGCTCTGGCGACCCGAAGACGCGGCGCTGCTGCTCTCCGGGCTCGCCCTGTGGTGAGCCCGGGGAGCATCTCTGGGCTTGGAGACCCGGGAGCAGTACCTCGGGGGCAGTGGGTTGGGGGGCTCCTGGTCCTGCTGGGGGCACTGCTGCCGGAGTGGGGACAGTGACGGGTCCTGCACCGAGCGCCTCCCTTTGTTTGGAAGTGCCCGGGCCGGTTAGAAACGCCTCTGGGTGCGGGCCGGCGGGCGCCCACCGGGATGAATGCCTATGCTTGGTCCCCAGTCTGTGCTTTAAGAAGCTGGTCTGAATTGGGCTCTGACCCGGGGATCCGCCCCGTGCGCCCTCAGACTGGATGGCGCGTTCTTGTTCCCCAAGAACCTGCCCGGGAGGCGTCCCAAACGGGGTCTGTGGTGACGCCGCTCACTTTGTTTGACTTGGGGGTCCTGCTCAGTCTCCGTGCGCTCACCAGAGCTGGTGTCCCTGGCGCAGCGGGACGAGCTTTATTCTTTAAAAAAACAGAAGATTTAGAAGGTGAGCCTGCACAAACCTAGAGCTGGGGTGCCCATTGCACTGCGCCCCCCGCCCCTGCAGTCTTCCTGCCCTTTGCTGCTAGTCTCTTGGGGCAGCCTAAGACCGGGCATGGATGGAGAAGCTGGGGCGAGATGGTGCAGAGGAATGACCGAGAGTAACCCCGGCGGGCGGCGCAGGACTGGGAGCTGCGCGCCTGGGCTGGGCTGCGCGTGGGGGGTGGGGGTGGGGAGCGCTGGGCCCGGGCTGCGGGTGGCCCCGGGGGACTGGCCCGCAGCGCCTCCTGGCCGGGTGGCTAGGGAATTGGCCCTGTGGCTAGAGTGGGGCCGGGCTCTGCAAGGCGTTGTTGCTGGCGGGCTCCAGCTGAGATCCCGTGAAGAAGGAAACCCTGGAGGTTCAGATGAAAGCCCTTCTGGTTGTTTTTTGTTAGAATGTTTCCTGACTCCCAGACCTTGGTCATTCGGAAGGTTCTTGCGGCGTGGGCCTGTGCCAGGGTGTGTGTAGGTGCCTTTTTTTCCCCAGCAGTTATTAGACAAAAGGAAATAAACAAGATTTTTTTTTAACCCTTGTCTTTTGCATCATTTAAAACCCAAGGCTTTTCAGCGACACCTCACAAAGTGAGAGGATGGTATATACATTCATGTAATAGAGGACAAATTTGATATTAAAACAAAACAAAACTTGTTTGTTGATGAAAATCAAGTCATTTTCTAAGGCCGGATCCCCCCCTCCCCATCCCCCTCCAAAAGGACCAACCTCACAAAAATTTCCAATTTCAAAAGCTAAGTTTTGCTGGTTCTTTTAACAGTACTTAGGGGCCCCAAACCCAAGTTTTGATCTTGTTTTCAGACAAAACTTAAATCTCAACTAAAAAAGTGCTTATTTTCTCATAAGCACTTTTATTTCAGCCCATTGTTCTCATACCTACCACAAAAATAAGGGAGACTTCTTTCTGTTGTTCATATCATTCTGTTGAGACACTTCTTGCAAATCAAAGAAAGTGTGAAAGCATGGAAAATGTCTGGAGTAGAGCCTCTTCAGAGAGTACACTCATTTCCAAGAACAAAGTTTCCAAAGCCAGCCCGTCCCCCAGGTGCTCCTATAGAGCATTAAAATAATTCATTGGCCACACAGAGCAAATCGCTATCTACGTGAGCAAAAACAGTAGAATCAGAGTGACCAGCCTTCTTGATGGCCACAGTTCCATAATGTAGTCAGAATAATTCGTGAGCCCCCTTGCAAGGACAAGCCTGACATATCTGTAAAAGAGACACCAGTGATATGTGTGTCTCCCCTCCAGATGAGCATTTGAAATCTCAACCCTTATAAGTATTTTGATTTACATATAAATTAGAGGCCTGTAATGGACACCCGGCACATTTTGACTTAGGGCCTGGTTACAGTTCATGTGAGACTGTGATTAGTCTAGAATTGGGTGATTAGGGTTGGATTGTTTTAAACCTTTGCTCTAGGAAGTCTCAATGTTTACATTATTAAAAATTAATGAAACCGGATGAAACAGCGGCACAGCTTTTTATCTTCTGTAGTATTTACCTTATATGGAGAGAAGTTGGCAAATTTTTCCAGTTAAATTTTTTAGGGATCTTCCCTCCCATAAAGCAAGTTGCTTGTGCTATATTTATAGTGATTACAAATTGTTAATATGTACATGATTTCAACTTTTAGCTCCTAAAATAGTTAGATGGACATTGCCTTAGACTCTTTAATTATGAACCTTTTGGGTATCTAGAAAATACCAATAGACATGTGGTATTTTTTCTATAATACTCTCAAATTCAAATACATTTTTATTTACTACTGGCTACTTAAAGAAATAATGCATGTATAGTGCTCCTTATGGTCAATAACTCCAGCATCAACTTTTAAATGATTTTTCTGAAAATTTGTTTTACTTAGCTCTTCTGGGAAAGGGCCTATACTAAAAATTGAGACCCTCTTCATATCTGCATGTAGCAATAATCATAAATGCCAAACTTATTGCAATGTTTATTTAATAGACATTTAAATAGCATTGTGTGCCAAGTACTGTTCCAAATGCTTTTCAAACACTAATTTAATCTTTATTACAAACTGACTTATCATTCCTATTTTGTAGCGTAAGAAACTGAGAGGCTAACTTACTTGACCCTGACCACACATTTTGCAAGTGACAAACCTAAGATTTGAACCTGACCAGTGAGCTCAAGTTCTTTAACTCTCACACTAAGCCGTGAGGTCGTACAGTTTCGGCTGCTGCTGGCAGAGGACTTTCCAAGGATGCTCACTGTATTCTGGTGTGTTCATCTGCTAAGTCCTTGTCAGAATCTACAGCCTGTATCATATTTCCCTTGTTTCTGAGTGGGCCAGCCAAATTCTCTTCAGCTTGTTGGGACATTGGTTGCATAGGGATTGCAACACCATGGAAAGAACAGACAAGATTTGCTCAACTCCAATTCTTGGTTTAAAATGAAAAGGGAGCTATTGCTTCAGTCAAATATTTGTGAGTAGGTATATGATCTCAAAATTTTCCTTGTGCAACACACAGAAAATGGAAAGGTAGAGTATTTGGCTGTGAAAGTATAAGGAACAGCCTTGGCTGGTGTGGCTCAGTTGGTTGGAGCGTCCTCCCGTGCACCAAAAGGTTGCGTGTTTGATTCCTGGTCAGGGCACATATCTGGTTTGTGGGTTTGATCCCTGGTTGGGGTGCATGCGGAAGGCAACCGATCTCTCTCTCTCTCTCTCTCTCTCTCTCTCTCTCTCTCCCTCTCTCTTTCTGGAACAAAAGAAAAATGGATTTTTAAAAATTGCTTGTAATACAATAAAATTCCTGCCGGTTGCATCCTTAATTGTGTTGTGAGTCATCGAAATAAGCTATTTCTCTGTTACTACTATTACTGTCTAAGAACCAAATTTAGCCTTTTCTTAAGACATTTGTCTCTGAAAGTAAATACAATTTCAAAGTCTACTTTATAAAAGTGAAATAGGATGGGGAATGGTGTAACAAGTTAGAAATAAACTCTTAGAAAACATTTCTTGGTCAAAACATTTATAGTGTTGATTTATTGTATGCTAGATGTTTTATGCATTTTACAGGTGATAATTCAGTTCATTCTCATGAGAGAACCACATGAGGTGGGCACTGTTATCTTCCTTTTACGAACTGAGGTATGGACAGGTTAGGTAGCCTGATCATGGAGATTGTAAGTAGTGGAGCTGAGGTTGCATCCCACTCAGTTTGGCTCCCATGAATTTATCAAGATCAGGGTAGGGACCTGTCACAATTTCAAAGTCTGACAATTGAAGTTTGGACTAGAGCAGCCGTGGGCAAACTACGGCCTCCGGCCCGTTTGAAATGAATAAAACTAAAAAAAAAAAAGAGACCGTACCCTTTTATGTAATGATGTTTACTTTGAATTTATATTAGTTCACACAAACACTCCATCCATACTTTTGTTCCAGCCCTCCGGTCCAGTTTAAGAACCCATTGTGACCCTCGAGTCAAAAAGTTTGCCCACCCCTGGACTAGAGGCAAAGAGTGATTTCCCTTTTCATTGGATATTTTCACCTGAAAATAGTTCCCTGCATAGGTAACCAGCATAGATGCTGATAGAGAGGTACGCTTTAGAAGTATTTGAAAGCAGAGAATGAAAAGCTCGTATGTAAAATTGTTTTCAGATAGAACCTTCTGTTACTCTGCATTGAGATGATAAACTGTATTAAAGAGTGTTTAGAATGAGACTTGGATCCTGAAACAAAATAAACTTTGAGATCCTGTCTTTTTTCATTTTGAAAACCTACTTTAAGATCTTATTTAAATGCCCATCCTTCCCATAAACTCTCGTGGATTCGCTCCTTGCCAACAGAGTTAAAATGAACCTATCCCCTTCTCTTTTACTCCCATAAGTTTGGGTTACAGCACTGTTCATGTCATGTATTTAATTGTGTTTTGATATGATTAACATTTATTTGTCTTCCTTTTGAGTGTATACTTCTCCAGGAGGAGGTCTTTGGTTCATTCTCCCCAGTCCTTAATTCAAGCCTTTTGATATGGGATATGGAAGATGTTCAATAAATGCTCACTTGAGCGAGTCAAACAAAGAGAATGGGAAACTAATGTTTGTTTTCTATGTTGTAAAATAATTAAAATGATGGGATAATTATAGAAAAAAATTAGAAATAGAATTGTTGGAGAAATAACTGTAGTTAAGGTTAGGTTTACGATTGAGAAATTTTAGTACATACTTAAATTATCTAGGCCTGCGAACTTTGTTAGAGCAAACAATTCCGATTCCATTCAGTTTCATTTC